AGAACCTACCCGAACAAAAGTGAAGAATCTACCAAAATGAGAAAATAACGATTTTAGACATTAAAATCTCAGAGATAAGGTTGCATTTTTGGCGTTTCTTTTCGTGGCGCTTCTACTTCATCTATGGTTTACAAGTTTTTTCGTTCCATTAGACGAAATATTTATTTTTTGTTTACTAAAAACTCATGAAAAACTCATAAAACTCTACTTTACTCAATTGCCGTATATTTTGATACGGTAATCAAAGTGCTGCCGTATACCGTATTTATGGTGCCTAAGATGCCTGAATGCCGTATATTACGGCAATTGCCGTATCAAGAACAACACTGCGGCGCACACAACTGAAGTGACGAGACGGACGACCGACGGACGAAAGAAATTTCACCTCTCTCCCTCGCACGTCGCCTGCCTGCTTCTGTTATCAAAGAAAGCCGCCCTGCACGCTGCCGCCGCCCGTTTGCGCTCCAGATGGATCGTCGGTCAATAACGATTTTTTTTAATAATCGTTTCGGTGACGTGTGGCGAAAGCGGGCGCGTTTCGATTGATTTCGGCGCCCCCCATAACCGGCGCCCGGTGCAGTCGCACCGCTCGCACCGCCCTAGGGCCGCCACTGGCCTACCTTTACGAGAGGCAGTAATTATTTGGGACGTAAACTAGCTCACATAAAATTAGCTTAGCCACGGTACATGTTGGGCCAAGTGAAGTTTCTTGTGGGCTCACAAAGTAGGCACTCGTAAACTCCCAAGTGGTGGTTTAAGTATTGCTGTTATGCGTTCTTTGTGTATAGAATATGTACATTTGGTTTATATTATGTATTTTTAATAAGCACTGCAATTTAGTGTTCTGCAATAACATAAAGTTGCTTTAATTGATAAAAAATTTAATAATTATGTTTGCACCTAACCTTCAGCCTAAACTACAATTAAGCACTAACTATTGTATGCCTTCAAGGCGGAACGCAGCCAATCTACTCCTATTTATAATTTGACAACCTATGTACCTGTGGTTCACAATAAACTGTTATACATATTTTGAATTTTGAATAGTGTTCATTATAAGGTACCTTACTGTTTTTTTAATCATTCAAGTAAAAAAATAAATAATTCGTGACACTCAAAGTAGCTAATAAGTTCGCAACACGTCTTGCAATTTGAATAAGGTTTTGTTGTCAACATTTTGGCTACTTTGGGTGTCACAAACTATTTGACGCTGACTGTACCTGGTACTTAATAGTATTTGTCATAATAATATAACTCTACACTATACGGTTACTCTTACTAACTTTTTAAACCATTTTCTCGTTAATTGCCATTATTAACGTTGTTACTACTTCTTAACTACTTACCTACTAAACGGATGCTATTTGCAATTTACAAATGTAATAGTTGGTACAATTATTCACTGTCTATTTATATTACCGTTTGATTACCTATTAGTTGCAGTAATATATGCAGCTGTGAAATACGGCATGATAAAGTTTGAAGGGTGAAACTTAATGAAGTTGCCTTGCCAGCTCACATTAGATTTATAGCTATAGATAATTGCTTAAAGGGACTTTAATAATGTGGTATTCTATTATAGTTTCGTGATTGTTGGCACTAATTGGTGGCTTAATATTTCCTTAATGACTTCAGTTTAGGTGTTAAAAGCTTAAATTTGAGTTTAATTTAAGAGATGCTTCGAGTTATACTGCTGTTAATTTTAATTCTTACCTAGTAAAATGAAGATGGTGATTTGTCAATTTTAAAAGAAACTTGTCTCCAGTTTTTGAATGACCACACCTTACCAAGTTATAAAGTCACTTATACGCTTTCAGGTGGAGTAAGCAGCCCGCAAACGTTGAGGCCTCCTGCTCTATGGACTGATGACCTTAAGAAGACTGGTGGTAGTGACTGGATGAAATGAAACGCCAATACTTGCTTACAGGAATAAGAACAGCTTATAGATCATATGATGATGATTACTTATGGCGATATTTGCAGTTTTCATTTGTTTTTATGCGATAAATAAAACTGATAACTGATACATGGCAGCAAATAGGTATGCTAAGGTTATGATTGCTGCCATTAAGTTATTAAAGAATGCAAATCATGTTACACATTATTTGGCAGTTTGTGTTAGTGTGGCAAGTTGTGTTTCAATAGAACTAAGTAAATAAGCGTAGCATTGTAACAATAGAATTTCCCCTCTCAGAAATACAAATACTTACATATCTTAATATAGACTTTTACTATAATGTTGTGTGCGAAACCCTTCAAATAAATCTGGAGGGAGAAGAGAGAGCACGTGATTTCCGGACTATGGGAAGCATTAACCAGAACACTATTGCATGACCTCCATTTATTTTGAAATTCAACGACAAAATAGATCTGTACATTTTGGACGGGTAGGACGAAGGGTGAGGGCATGAGTTTTAGGACCCTATAAAGAGGTCCATCTCATTTAAATAAGAAATTAGATGTTAGGCATTTTCGCTGAAATAAAGGGAAGGTAGGCAGGTTTTGAAAAGTTTAAATAAAACTCTTTTCTTTGCATAAATATTTAATTTAAAATATTTCCACGAATGATAATTGTCAAGCTATTGTAGACTAATTATTTTAATGTCTCTGAAAAAGATTCTGAGTTTAGTAGAGACTGCCTCTGGTATTCCACTTTAGCTAAGAACACTGAAGAAACGTTTTCAAGGCGAGAGTGAATAGACACTTACAGGGCAGATATGTACCATCCTAGACTGCATCTCACTTCAGCATAAAAAAAAATCGAAATTTTCTAAGCGTAAAAACTACGTGGCGTAAACTGGTAATCGGTTTTTTTTTTGTACAAGGCAAAGCCGCTACGGTTGAATCTATACTAATATTATAAAGCTGAAGTTGTGGAACATGACGCTCAACCACCATAAGGAGTTAGAGCATTTAATTTACACAATCTTAGTTTGTCTATATATACTGGGCAGGGTAAAAAACTTCGTCACCGCGATGCAGGATTGTATGCGCGGTGGAGTTTGCCATAGTAAGATCGTAACAGCGCCATCTGTTGGTACGGTTTGTAGTGGCGCAATTTATTATTCACAGTTTGTTTATTTGGTTGAACGCGCTAATCTCAGGAACTACTGGACCAATTTGAAAAATTCTTTTTGTGTTGGATAGTCCGTTAATCCCTGAAGGCTTTAGGCTATATATCATCACGCTAAGACCACTAGGAGCGGAGCACCAATGAAGAATGTTTCAAATCAGTGATTTTTTTTCCTTTTGAGAGCTGACGCTGCGTAAACGGTTAAAGTTTCGCATAAATTATGTATGATAGGATTTTCCCCTTTAAAAGTTCTACAAAAAAGTCCGCTACAGCATATGTCTATCTTTTATGGCTGGCTCACTGTAACCTTTTTGTCTGGATGTCTGGATGTTTGTTCCTCTTTCACGCAAAAACTAATAAACGGATTTTGTTGAAACTTTACAGTATTATTATTTATAACCCAGGCTAATATATAGGCTACAATTTATGACGATATGTGACAAACTAAATTTCAATAAATAGTTAAGAGGTGAGAAATATCCTTAAAAACGCCATCTATCGACGTGCTTTTGACGGTCGTAAACATTCATGAGAGCGAAGCCGTGAAACGTATCATTAGTCCTAATTAGGAACTAAATATTACATTTATAGAACTGTTCATAATATTTAAAATTTAGTCATTATAGATATTTTATGTAATTGAATAATTCACTGTGTTTAAACGAGCAAATCAAAGTCTAAATTAGTGACCGCCATCTATCGACGTGCTTTTGACGGTCGTTAACATTCATGAGAGCGAAGCCGTGAAAAGTATCATTAAAATTTTATGTAATTTAATCATTCACTGTGTTTAAACGATCAAATAGTATTCAAACATTTAGATAATAACGTTAAAAACCATTTAAAAATCCTATGAGAACTTTTTCGACTTCTACACGGACGAAGTCGCGGGCAAAAGCTATTTGTAAAATCATCATCATCATCATCATCATCATCATCATTTCAGCCATAGGACGTCCACTGCTGAACATAGGCCTTTGTAAAATAATTAGACTAAATTATTAAAAGTGCCTACCCAAAGTCATTAGTCCACGCGGACGAAGTCGCGGGCACAGCTAGTAAGAAATACGACGAATTACATTTATACGATTACACGACAATATTCATGCTCAGAATACTGTTCATACGACGAATATAGCTACATTTACTCAATCTAGTTCCAGCAAAACGCCTCGCTCTGATTATTCAAATTTCACCGAGTATTTATTATTAAAGACCGTTTTCCAGCTCCCTTGAGAAACTTCCTTAAAGTTGGTCAGGCTAATAGGATGTGCCGTATTCCCCGGCCATCAAGTCTTGATTAGCGACCACTGGATCTTAATGCTTTCCTCAGTAATTACTACGTACTCCACTCAGGGTACGGTTGCGGTTGTTATGGTTCCCCGGCGATGTACAGACGGCACATCGAGTTTAACAGTATCAGATCTTATGGGCTGGCTTACAAACTCGTATATAGGTACGACATACATAATGTACAGTCGCGGAATGAAAAGGTTCGTCACCTTAGTGTCGGTTTTCGCTTGCACTAGGTACTGTAAGAGTCAAACCTGCCAACATAACCGTGCAAGAAACAGTGCTGCTAACATTTAAATAAATATGACGTTTGTTAACGAATAAGGTTTTGCTTGTTTATTTTTCTATCCCATCAATGAAATGTTACAAAGTGTAGTTTTTTTTATTTAATAGATAATGGCAGGTTGAACCAACAAGAAGGTTTTAGTTTTTCAGTCATAATAATCTTCTTGACAAGTTAATTGTCAAACAACTTTGATCTGAATAATTTTTAACTTTACTGACGAACAGTTAAAGATTATTTTCTCTAACTCGAGATTATTCTGTAAAATAGTCTCAAAAGGTAATATGTGCTCGCGATTCGTTGAGGGAATCAATTTGAAAACTGACGAACCTTTTCATTCTGCGACTGTACTAGGAATCAATTTGTAAAAATAAATGTTCAATTTTTTATAATAATGCACAGAAAACGTCTCTATGTAAAAATACTACTACAGCGTGGGTTGAATATTAAAGAACAGTCATGAAAACAAACTAAACTAGATAATTTTATACATTTAGCCTATTCGAAATCCACTCTTTTCAGCTCAGGTTACATTTAATTTTTTTCCTTCATAATAAAGTAAATGTTTATTTAATTTCTGCTTCACAGATTAAAACAGCTTTTATGAACAGAATAAAAGCAAATCCACATTATTGATTACATCCATTAAGAATTTCCCAAAGTTCGCTCGCTTGAAAGTTTCAAACTTCACCCCTGCAGTCACCCTCGGCCACCCCTCGGAACTCCGCATTCTCACAGCATCCGCCATTTTAGTACCAGAGCCAGACAGCAATACAATATCGCATAGGAGTGAGCGAGACGAAAGAAAGGGTGCAAATGAAGGTAAATCGGGCCGGGATGTTGGATGTAAAATGAGAACAAAGGCGGGGGTGTATTTCCGCATTCGTTTCTGGCTCTTCAATAAATTATCTTGAATGTTCTGAAAAAGAAAATTGGAAATTATTAATTCTTGCGAGTTTTCATCAGATATTAGACATAGATAATCAAGTATTCGTTCATAGGTAGGTAGGTGTGCTAGATTTAGATATGAGCATATAGCTAGAGCAATAACAATAATTTAAGTGTGAGAGAATCTCAAAAGGCTGAGCTTTTAATGCTCATGAAAGTAAAAAAAAAATATTTAAATAAGGTTTTTTTACACAAACGCGGCATTGGAACACCATAAATGTGTTGTAAACTAAACAGATGTTGGTTCTAATTTTTTGCTGGTTAATTCTTACTCAATAACAGCCCGTCTCATAACGTAATAATAATAAAATATGTACTTAGTACCAAATAAAAATAAATACTTATTAATAGGTTATTTTAAAAGTCTTAAAATTCAGTAAAATTCAATCAAGAATTAACAAGTCTGATGGTTCAACGAAGATAAATTGATTTTATAGAGCGTACGCCAAAGTCACATCCCCTAGAAAAAGCACTCAAGTGAAATTTCCTGCCTGTACGTACAGTCGGCACAAAGTTTATGGCCCTCGTTATCAAGACCGTTACTTTCGTTATTCGATCGCATTAGGGGGTGCAAGCGACTATTCCGAATATAAAGAATAAGCACATATTTTATTTACTGAAAAAGGGTGGTTAATGACGTGGAAAGATTATTTATGTACGTTTTAAGTAGATGTGATTGAATATGGTATATGGCATTTTATTGCGTAGTTTTTTCCTTTCGCGACTCTACATTTGTGTAATGAGATTTTCCAAATAGCAAGCTATGTATGTAGCAAGCTACATTCAGTCAATAAAAGTGGGAGTCTTAATTAATAGTAATATCTCATAATTTCCACATCATTTAACTTTGCAGTCAACAAATAGTTAATATCAGTATGGATATACATATTTATCCTCCCTTGCCCTCAATAAAGTATATAAGAAACAGTAATGGCTTGTTTATTGTAGAAAAGGCATTTGATTTATAATATAAAAATCTACGGAAAAGCGTTTAACTTTAAACACAATAATATTCATTTGTTTATACTTATTTAAAGGCATATTGATCTCCAGCGTCTTGGCTGAGGGTGGAGGCCACCCATCTTATTGAAATGCCTAAGCACGAATTTAATCAAATTCTACCCTCCGCTCTACAATTTATCTAAATTGCATTTGCATGTTTACTTTATTGCACATAATAAAACGTAGAATTCAATTACATGCTTTAAAAACAGTATACATTAAGAGGGTAGGTAAGTACCTGACTCTTTCAAAGATACTTCACAAGTAGGTATCGTTAAGTATTTTTAAAATTGAGTAAGTAGATAATTATGTCCGGAAAAAAAGGTTTTGTTAACTCATGTCGCATGAAACCGCGGTAACAATTTTCTTTTGGGTCTCGATTCGCAGGTGCTTGAAATATTAGTCACGTAATAAAATCTACGTTATTTTGTTCTACAAGTTCTACCACTATACCCTACGTAGATTTCGTTATATTTAAATTATGTCTTTTGTCTCAGGAGCATCAACTAATTAACAACAGACACGTGTCATTAATTATTTCGTAGATTAAGCCGCGGGGAGTAAATGTGTCTATTATCTTAATAATGAACTTTGTCTATAAAACCAATGCGGGCTTGGAGCCCTCTTTACATAACAATGTGAGGTAATTTAAATTATCTAAGAGTATCTACGTTATTGCGGCAAGAGAATAGATTAATGTGTTAGTTCTAAATGGTTTGTTGAATCTATGTTTGGTTACTGATGGTTACTAGTATTCAATACAAACAACAACCAATCATAATTTGAAGTTTTAAATTTAGTTTATTTTCCAAGTTAAGAAATAATATTAACAATTATTTAAATATTAATAATAATATTATCTCCAGTGTCTATTCGATTCATTAGTATTTTTAGGTAGACTTGAAGCAACGTTAAAGCTTATTTTGTGGTTAAAGTAAATATACCGTTAATGTGTAGAACACGGTTCTAGACTCTTCAAGGCGTGAGTGAGGAGGCATTTAATTTTACTGGGCAGGTGTAACCATCCTAGACTGGTATGATTGCAATCAAATGTTTTATGCTGCATAAAAAAACTAAGAAAAAGAGGTTTAAGGTAACGTTAATTAGATTCAAGAGCATGTCAACCGACGCGTTTGATACGTAACCGCTACGATTACGCGACGCTCATGTGCGCAATCGTTTACGATCCTACCTACTGCAGCACTAGTTAGTATGTGAGCATGGTAGGTGTAGAGCTAATGTAATGGCGATGTCGGCAGGCAGCCGCCCTTTAACAGCCTCGTAATTGCGAGCTAAAATTAAGTGTTATTTTTATGGTGATTTCTCTACTACTACTTAGTTGCTTTAAGTAGGCGTAAAGCGTTTTATTAATTGAAATAAGCTCTGGTGTAAGTGGGCGACTTGTGTTTAGAGACAATAATATCTTTATTTATAGCCATTATTATTTTTTGTCTTTTTTTAAACGTACTTAATAAGTTTTAGATTTATGATCGCAAAATATCTAGTAAAAGGAAGTGTTTGATGCTTAAGCTACAGGTTTCACCTACCTGTGATTTATTTCTACAGGTTTTGCATTTTCTACATCGCCTAACTTCTCTATAAATAATATTTCCTAATTACTAAGCATTTTAATTTTACGCTCGTAACTCTCGTATGTCAGAGGATAAATCTTTAAAGCTGGAATTTATGTCTGGGTACATACCTGGCGATGGGGTTAGCGGATATTTACGACGGGTTCGAGCCCCGGCGGTGCGCATGTGCGAACTTGGCCGCGGCCGTAAACTTACCGCCGTAAATTATACGCAACTTTGTGTACGGGTCTTACGCACAGTATACGTCGGTAAAGTAGACCCAAACTGACATATCATAAAGGACGAAACATACTTACCAAGCCGAAAATGGATCAATACCGTATCGCCTTTCGCCACGAGGTGAGGTGTTTAGTTACAGTTGCATACAAAGAATACTGACCGCCTCGAGTTGATGTGGTTACGATCCGTTTCCGCGTTGATAAGTGTGCTTCGTCCTTTATTCGTTCTTTTCAGCCAAATGGAAATTCTTGGGGGAGGTACTTTTCGCAACCGTCACTAGAGCTACATCTTATTACAGTTGCTGAAATCCTGTAAAGGTGCTTATTTCAGTAGATGGCTAAACTGTATTCTTTCTATACTCGCAGGAGTTGCTGCAGTGGGAACGAGTAGTTACATAGAAGTGAAGAATGGTCGTCGTTACAAAACTAGGACAGACTACTTTTGAAATACAAAACAAAGTTTATCTTATTTTTCTGTCAATACTTATACAGTGGCTTCCCATACTAAAAGAACCTTCTGCGTCTTCTTAATGTATGGCCAAACGCGAACCCTACGAAATAACAACGCGGTAGATTTACCTCCCTAGTAAATAGACTAGGCACATCAAAGAACTGTGCGGCGAATTGTAATTAATTTTAGGCTCTACACTCTAGGATTTGTCTTTTGTTTAAACACCGCTATTGAAGAATGTAACGACGCAACGTGTGATAAAGAAAAATAAAGTTTTGGTCATAATCAAGAGAAGATGACTGTGTAGATGTTTTTTTTTAGATTAATTAATGCACTCTGGACGTTATGGCGCGTAATATAATACAAATAAATATAAGAATTTTATTGAACTAATAGACCAGTTAGTATAAATTAATCAGACTTAAATGTTTTATAAATGCTATTACCACTTTGTTAATTTTATAAGTTCGAATATTAGTATTTTATTACCTACTCAGTAATAGTAATCTATCTATACTTATAATAAATCTGTAGAGAGGTCAATTCTGTACATGAAATATATTTTCAAAATAACTATCAGGGGGTGATTGGTGATCGATACTGATGCCAAAAATGCAATCAGTAAAATTTTTGTCTGTCTGTCTGTCTGTCTGTCTGTCTGTCTGTCTGTATGTTCCTTATAGAAACAAAAACTACTGGACGGATTTTAACGAAACTTGGTACAATTATTTTTCATACTCCTGGGCAGGTTATAGTATACTTAGGAATTCCCACGGGAACAGGAATTAGCGGGAAAATCCTTTTGTATGAAAAATCTAAACCACTAAAGTTAGACGCTTTAAATTTGGCATGTAGGTACCTTAGTAAACTTAAAGCTTAGTTATTCCCGAAATTCCCACGGGAACGGGAATTAGCGGGAAAATCCTTTTGTATTAAAAATCTAAACCGCTTAAGTTAGGCGCTTGAAATTTGGCATGCAGGTACCTTAGTAAACTTAAAGCTTAGTTACAACAGGATATTGCAAAATTCCCAAGGGAACGGGAGTTACCGGGAAAAAACTTTTGTATGAAAATATCTAAACCGCGTACGATAGATGAAGGGGGTAAAACGGGATCCACGCGTACGAAGTCGCGGGCGGCCGCTAGTATATTATATAATTTGATAGACACGTGCCATTTAGCATCATTTAAGTTTTTTTAACCGACTTCAACAAAAAGGAGGAGATTCTCAATTCGGTTGGTATTATTTATTAGAAAAGTTCTCGTATGTGTTTGTAGACTCAAAGTATTGTTCAGATCATCGTGTTAACTAGTTAGTGGTTTACCCATTACGATTTAAATTATCACAAACAATTTCGCAAAACTGAACTGAATCAACTGAAGCACAACAAAGGCACTCCAAACGACTGACAATATAAACTTGAGTTATCTACTTGAGTTATCTATCTTTACAGCGGGTCCGGAACGCGGCCAATTCTGTTCTTACATCAAAGATGACATTATCCTTTCTACCAGACCATAAACCCTTATCTGGAAAGCAAGACGAAGCCAGATCTACATAGCGCTGATAGTAGCGAAACCAGTCGGCGAAGACCCGTGAAGAACTTCGGAGGTTGCGGGGTTTGTGGGTGGTTTGTCCGGGAAGTATCCGATTGTGTAGTTATTTATGAAAGACTGTGCATGTGGTTGAGGTTTCATATAAAAAGGTA